AAGCATAGTGGCTTCAGCTTCTGTGGAGGCCTCAGGAAACTTACAATCATGGCAGAGGGTGAAGGGGAAGCAGGCACGTCTTACATGGTTGGAGCAGGAGGAAGGTGGGGGAAGGTGCTGTATACTTTTAAACCAGATCTTGTGAGAACTCAATCATGAGAACCACACTAAGGGGATGGTGCTAAACCATTCATGAGAAATCACCCCCATGATCTAGTCACCTCTCAGCCGGCCCCACCTCCAACATTGAGGATTACAATTCGACATGAGATTTGGGTGGGAACACAGATCCAAACCATACCAGTCACTCCTCAGATAATTTTTTTTTTTTTTTTTTGTAATTGTATTGCTCTGTGAAATCAAAAAAATCTGGGAATCATTGTTCTAACACCAATCCCAGAGGTCTGCTAATTCCTGATTTGCCTTGAATCCTTAAAGATGATGCCATTTCTACCCTGAGAACCCAGGCATTTGGCATTGATTTCCTGAAGGCAAAGACCTGAAGGGGGAACATCAGTCAAGAGATTCCTTGCTGCCTTCTGCCCCAGCTATCATTCTTGACCCCAAGAGCAATGATTGGAAAGTAAATGCCCTACTTCAGTCTTGTCTTTGACACTGACGGATGATTTTGGAATATTTGGAGTTGTGTGAATTTCTTCAGGCAACTAATAATAATGTAGTCTAAGTAACTGCCACAGGGTGCAGCTAATGTTCCCAAATGAATAAAGCAGTGAAAGAGAGCAGTCAATGAGCTTTTAGACCCAATGCTTTTGATGGGTTCACCATATTTCTTCCTACTCCAGTAAGGTTGGTCATGTTTATGATGCAGGTTACATCGCTGGATTTGTAGACCTGGAGGTGAGCAACAGACCAGACCTCTATGATGTGTTTGTGAATCTGGCAGAGAGTGAGATTACCATTGCTCCCCTTGCAAAAGGTTTGTTCTCTGTTCTGTTCTTGATACAAGATATAAGCCAAACAGTTGCACATTTTTAGGCTGATTCTCTAAAACTAGTATTTGAGGGCTGGCTTACCCACTCTGCTGAAGATGGATATTTCCGTGTCTAGAACACAACATTTATTCCTGCAGACATAGACATATGAGCAGAACATCCCGGGTGCTTACAAAGCAAAGTATATGCTAAGAAGTTAAATAGTCTGTTCATCTTGTTTCACCACTTTTGTGTTTAAACAAGGTGTATTATCTATTGCCACGTAACAAATTACTTCAGAACTTAGCGGTTTATTTTCTTAATTTTGAAATGTCTCTGAGTCATACAGAACTTGGTGGTTTAAAGCAACAAATATTCCTTTCTT